GGCGAAAGGAAGGAGGCACTTATCAAGCCGAGAGAAGAATTTCCATCGAAAATGCGGCACATTGAAGCGAAACAAATGCCTCACGCCGCGCGCTCTCCCTCTCTCTCCAGCAAGCTGTACGCGCGCCTGGCGTCTTGCAGCGGGACGATACATGACCACGGACCTCCTGAAGCGGCCTAAGGTGAGCCCCGCCGCCCCAAGCCCGACAAAACATCTGGGGAAGGGTATGTTGGAAATGTTCCATACTTGGTCTGTTAGCTTACCTGCTGGCTCGTATTTTTGCAGTGGGAAAACCCAGGGGCTCGGAGGCAGCTAACAACGGCGATCGTCCATCGTGGGTTAAGAAACAACAGAGGTGCTGTTGAAACTCTCGCTTTGGCCGGGAAGTCGACTCTTTGGATTGGCGCCTCGAGCAGCCTCATGAACACCTGGATCCTCAACGTGGTTAAGATGCAGACACTCACTGAAAACTACACTGACCATAAGGTCATACTGTCGGCATAACGTCATGCTGTTATCATCTATGGATTATAACGAGTTTATGGAGTGTACCAGCCCTCGTGCGCATATATATATATATATATATATATATATATATATATATATATATATATATATATATATATATATGTAAACATATATATATATATATATATATATATATATATATATATATATATATATATATATATATATGTATTTATGTAAACATGTGTGTACGTAAATGTATATATGAATATACATACGCATATATATAATCAAACAATATATACACATGTATGTGTAAATATACTGTGTGTATATATATACATACATATATATATGTGTGTGTATACAAATTATGTATACATTCCCATACGCGCGCGCGCACGCACACACACACACACATATATATGTACATATATATGTATATATATATTATATATTTACATAGACGCATCCGAGACGTTTTAAAGGAAGGCTTCTAACTACGGCCGATGACGTTCTGTCGCGCCGCGTCCTGAGGCAGACGGCGAGACGACACAGCGGCGACCTGCGGAAGGCGTAAATGGCCGCTCTTTTATACCTCGCCGTCGCTGATTAAGATTATTTTGATATCTTCAGTTCAGTTACATGTTTCCCTTTGGTCTGTTTTTATTATTTTCAGTAAGATTTCTTGGCATACGGGTTTCCATCTGGTATAAATTCTCTCTCTCTCTCTTCTATCTTTCTCTCTCTTTCATGTATACTAGTAGTACCAAAAACAAAGAACAAGAGAGAGAGAGTGTCACGCAGACAACTACACTTAACGCGAAATGCCTGGCTATTACGAACAAAATATTCAGGAATTTGGCATAGGTTCTTGGCACATTGTTTTTTATTTTTTTCTGGCATCTTCTGTTCAGACGGGAATTTTTTAAGGCCTATTTATGTTCCGATGAAGTCAGTTTGATGACTGACTAGAACTCAAGTTTCTAACGAAGTTATCCCTTCCGACTTCAATCGCAGTCAGAGCGGTTGCGGTCCAGTTCAACGAGAGTCGGTAACATAAGTTCCAATTTTTCATTATTCATAAATATGTTTAAAAACCTTACTATATATAGCCTATTGTAAAGGCATTTGTCATGGATCACCCATTATTCCATCGACCATTTTACGCTTAATCACTCTAATCTATCTACCGTAAACACTGATATCAATATGTAATGGAATTCAAAATTTAAAACTTACTTTTCTTTATCATTAATAGGTGAACTACGTCGATTATTCCGTTCTAAAAGTTGATGACTATCGAGTAAAAAATATCTAACAGCTGAAATATCTAATTACAAAAAAAGGGGAAAAAAATCAAAAGGCAGAGGAACGGTAACCAAAAAGTAGTTCCTAATATTGTGAATGACTAAAAACCATTTAATTGTTTATAGTGCACTTTTACCCTGTTGAGAGATTATGATAGCATCCTGTATTGTGATTCACGTACTCGTTTAATTATTTTTTTTTCACATAAACCAAAAAAACAATGGCCCAAAAAATATTACTATTCTCTCAACCACAACACGGAAATAAGCCCGAGTGAATAAATTGGTTGTGGTTGTGTGGTTGGTAAGCCTGACTGCCTGAGGAATACCATGTTGCTGAGAATCACTTACCTTTCACTTTTGTTTAACCAAATTATATGCAATTTACCTAAGACTACCATTAGATTGCTAGACAGTTTCCGTAAAAATGAATACTTTCAAGTGAAGAATTTGTTGCATTGATGATGTAAATAGCACTTTTTTTGAGGGGTGAAGGGAGACTTCATGCATACAAGTGTGTGTGTGTTTGAGTGTGTGTATGTGTGTGTGTGTGTGTGTGTGTGTGTGTGTGTGTGTGTGTGTGTGTGTGTGTGTGTGTGTGTGTGTGTGTGTGTGTGTGTGTGTGTGTGTGTGTGATATTTTGATGACATTGAAAATAAAAGTAATAAATATTAATACTAACAGTAATACTAATAATGATGATAATGATCATAAAAAAATAA